TGAACTCATGATGACTTCTGAGGAAGAGCAGTCAGTGCTCTTAACACTGAACCAACTCACCAGCCCACAGCCACTACTCTTAACTGCTAAGCTCTCTCTCCAGCCCCAGCTATCCCCATTTTTAATATCTCAGGGATAGGATGCTTCTAGGAAAAGAAAAAGGACTGCATACCTTCTAGAGTATGCTCAACAACCCACTTCCAATGGGACACCATTTTCTAACAAGACAGAGGCTAAGAAATCTATCCCCAGTTTTGTTTTTGTTTTTGAGGTTTTTTTTAAGATTTATTATTATGTATACAATATTCTGCCTGCTGTATGCCTGCATGCCAGAATAGGGCATCAGATCCCATTACAGATGGTTGTGAGCCTGGAAATTAAACTTAGGACTTATGAAAGAGCATCTAGTGCTCTGAACTGCTGAGCCATCTCTCCAGCCCTCTATACTCGGCTTTAGTTATTTTTTCTTTTAATACTGTACCAGCCAGCATAACTCTGAAAAAAAAAAGTCAGCTTTTCATAAGCTACCTACTCTATGATAAACTGTTATGGGACTGTGAATAGCCAAAAACACACCCCATTCTTTCTGCCTTTTCTTTCTTGTCATAAGACATTAGCTATGCCAATCACTGTGATTTTTAATAGGAATATTGGCTATGGTCCTCAGCTGTCACATGAGTAATCTTGGCTATAAATTTAGCTGTGTGCTTTTCGTATATTATTTATTAAGTTGAAGAAGTTCCTTCCTATTTTGAGTTCACTCAGGGTTTTTCATCATGAATGTGTTTTCTTTTTATCAAAAGCCTTTCCTGAATATATTGGTATGGCCACCTAATTTTTCCTCTTTATATTTGCTAGCATGGTTGATTAATTAATTGATTTTCAAATCCCACTTGGTTGGTTGGTTGTTGTTGTTGTTTTATTTTTGTTTTATTTTTTTTTTGAGAGGTTTCTCTGTGTAGTCCTAGCTGTCCTGGAACTCATTTTGTAGACTAGGCTGTGATCAAACTCATAGACAACCACCTGCCTCTACCTCCCAAGTGCTAGGATTACAGGCATGCACCATCACCATCCTACAGGTATATTTTTGTATAGTATCTTTATTTGGTTTAAGTACTGTGGAAATAATTGCCCTATGGAAGGACAGTTACTACTACATAGTGAGACTCTGTCTCAAAAATAAAAAATAAAAAAGTAGAAAATTTTAACCACTAAGCCTCTCTCTATCCCATGATTTAATTTGTTTGCTATAGCCTCATCTAGATTGCTTTTTCTCCTTGAGTGAGTTTTGTCTCCTTCAAATAATTATTCCATCTCATGCCAATGATCAATTCACAGGCAAAAAATAAGTTAAGAACATTCCTTTCCTAGTCTGTGAGATGAGAACTGCTAGCCCCTCTTACACGTCTGTTAGTACTTATTAACTTGTATCTGCTCCTCTCTTCTTACTCTGTTATTAAAGCTTTAACTTCATTAATCTTTTCTCTTCTCTCCCCAACCCCAAAACAAAAAGGCCTCACTAAGTAGCCCCTTGTTGTCCTGGAACCCAATCTGGCCTTGAACTCACAGACATCCACCTGCGTCTGCCTCTCATGTGCTAGGATTAAAGGTATGAGCCAACATGCCTGGCTTTCATTGATCTTTTCAAAGAACAAGCTTTTGATTCTTTTTTCTAGATAGTGAGATAGTTTTTCACTTCCATTCATTTTTACTAATTTATTTTCTTCTACTTTGCCTATTTGTTTCCTCCTCCCCCCCTACCCCCCACCCCCCACCCCCACCCCCCCCACCCCCGTCTCCAGCACCTGAATTACAGGCACAGGCCAACACATTCAGCTTTTACATAGCAAGCCCACTGAGCTAGCTCCCATCTTTATCTCTGATACTGTACCCCTGAACTCAGCTGAAAGTGCCTGGCGCCCCATCCCCTTTGAATTGCTGTCAGCATTTCTAGTCTACTCTCTACATCTCTTTACATTTAATATGTTTGTCTCTATAATATGGGTATTTGTAGACAGCATATATCTCAAATCTCTTTCAACTGATGCATTTAAACTGCTGGTGTTTCAAGGGATTATTGATGCAGTTAGAATAGTGTCAATCCTGGTTCATACTATCCTCTATTTACTGGGCCTTGCTCATGTTCTGCCTCTCTTTTTCTGCCCTTTCCTACCTTTTTTTTTCTTTTGTTTTTTAAAGTTTATTTATTTAATGTATGAGTGCTCTGATGCTCACAACTAGCCATTGAACTGATCATGGGGTTCTCAATAGAGGAGTTAGAGTGAAGACTGAAGGAGCTGAAAGGGTTTGTGGCACCATGAGGAGAGCAACAATACCAACCAACCACAGCTCCCAGGGTCTAAACCACCAGCCTGGGAGCACTTGGGGGGGGGATCCAGGGCTTCAGCTGAATATGTAAAAGTGGAGGGCCCTGCTGGGCATAGGTGGAAGAAGAGAACCTTGACCACATGAAGGCTGGACGCCCCAGGGGGTGGGAATTTTGAGGGTGGGGAGGTGGGAGTAGGGGGGGTGTAGATAGAGGTTACATCCACAGAGAAGAAGGAGGAGGGGCGAGGGGATTGGGGGTTCCGAGGGGGTGGTGGGGGATGGGGTAAGGGGACAACATAGGAAATGTAAATAAATCATCC